AATAGGTATTAAATAAATAATGATTACATATAACAACGTACGGTAATGAAAATAATTCAAAGTATTTCTTCAAGTTAAGCAGTAACTAAAAGTGGAATCCATGGTATCTTTTTCGTCTTATTTGGAAGTCATCAGCCGAAAGTGCCTCTATCCCAGTTTTAATGACCACACTGAGACTCAAACCCAGTACCATTCACTTCAAAATACTTATATGCTTGCGCTATCGATAAGAATTTTATTTGTCAGAGTTTATGCTTTTCCATTGTTGATGTTAACGACTGATAAGTTTTTAGTAGCCACAAACAAATTGAATAAAAAATCTTGACAAACGGTAATAATAATAATCCGCTTAGGATGCACATGTGTTGATTGAGACTGATTATTCGCAGTCCTTAACATAAATAAGGGATAAATATAAACTCTTACATATAAAGTGCAATTCAATGCATATTAGTATTCATCAGCCATAAATCAAAGATGAAGTATTTTATGCAAAAATGTACGGATTGGTAATCAGTCTATGCGTACGATTGCCAAAAAAGTCACACAAACATCAACCACCGGTTTTAAAATCTTCATACAAAATCAAGACAGATTTATGTATCAAAAGGGGTTTTGTGGAGATTGTAGTAATTTTAATAGTTGAGATCATGAGTCAATCGAAGCTAAACCACCATGGAGAACCTGGAAGCACTGGACGGTCGTTTCGTCCTATTGTGGGACTCCTCAGCAGATTTATGCACAAAACAAAGACACGAATTATACTACTACTAATGTGGTGTACACTACTTACGCTGACAGATATGAGTAGTGTATAACACCAATCAGAAAAGGAATGCCCACTGCAAAACATTGAAAAGATTGAAGAGAAGAGAACAGGAATGTAAAAAGGGAGAAACAGTAATAACAAGGAGATTGAAAGTATCATGAAGTAGGTAAAGGAAAACTGAAGGTAGATGTGCGAATAATGTATTTAATGTATGCTTTTCATATTTTACAAAGGCACTGTGTAATTTTTCATGGAATAATAAGATTGGTTTTCGCCACCTAATTATCGTTCACTACACTACTGTTACGTCCTTGATCTGTCTACCCACTTTTGTACAGAGGATAACTTGTCTAATGTAGATCAAGACCTTGACGCGATAGGCTGACTGCTCAAACTTGAGAACACCTGCTTGGGTTAGAGAGACGAAAACTATTCTATTACCTAATTGACTGACAAGTACGCGAGTGAGAGAAGTCAAGTCGACTGGAGCACCACTCGGTTTATTCCCAATTCCGATCTGGTTCCCAATTTCAGATAAGTGTAAAAAGATACATGAATGAATAGATGACTAACCCGACCACAAGGCACAACAATTAGGAAAAATACAATTATGTCCAAAACTGGAGATTAGCGTAGAAAATAGGGCACAAAATATTACGTTTAAATAACAATAGCTTTGGAATAAAAAAAGGCTATAGCAGTGAATCATACATCAAACGAAAGCTTATGATCTGTAGAATAGACTAGGGACAAAAATAAATGTTACTGTTTTACATGCTCTGAATTAAATGAAATAACGTCCCGAAAAATAGCTTCTGTAATTTGTCAAGGCTTCTTATTTCTCTGTTCACATCAACTACTATTAGTCACTTGGGTTAAACTATACTTTCTCGTCTCGATTTCCAGATTGTCTTAATCTGAGGTTTGTGTTATCGCTAATTTTTGTCGATTGCTTTGCTGATTAAATGTAAGTGCATTGTGTGTGCTTGTCAAGTCGTCGAATAACCTTTTCTTTAGTTCTCTATCCAGACCTTGATCACGCTAATCTGCGTGATCTAGTACACAAAGTACCTTTTGATTAGATGCCAACCACTACACTAATACCATGTGGTTGAAGCAATTCTGGAGCACTAATAAGTTGAAAATCAACCAATCAATTAATTAACCGACAATTACTAACTAAATATACCAATTATGCAGATAAAATGAGTTAAGACATGTCATTACAATATGAAGAAAATAGTAAATGTAATCAATAAATAGATATACTGATATTGATTTTCGGATGAATAACTACATGTTGCATACCCGTAAATCTTGTAAAAATTTATAGCTCTCAACAGTTAATCAAAGTATGATCATATTCAATTGTAAGAGCCATTCAAATAGTTTGATATATAAGTGTTCTCTACACACATCTTTTTAATACACAAACACATGAAATGGTACATCTTATGATATAATACAACAAAATTCAGTCAATCATTGAATTTATCAAACTGTTAATAGTCTATAGAGGGAATACAAATGAAAATCACTATTTCCAATGTTCAGTATTCGATTTTAACATGTTAATTTTCAAAAGAAAAACAAAACCTTTTCAAATAAACAGGAAGATTATTCAAGGGTAACGAAACGTAGTAAGAATGTCTAGCCTCAAAAAAACTACTATATATATGCAATAGTTCATATTAACAAAAAACATACAAGGATTGAGGGAGATATAACAAAGAAATTTGTAGTAAACGATTTGTGAAAAGTTAAAACAAAAAAAATAAAGTATCAAGTTTAATTAAGTGTACATTAATAGTAACCGGATAAATGGTAGATGAAACGAATGTTTTCCACTTTTAAAGAGAAGAAAATTTTTATTGAGAATAACATCCCAAACTATTGATTTCTAATTCACGGAATACGAAATACATTCGAAACAACTATTAAAATGATAATATTCTGACGATTAGATATTAAGTATAATTATTCCACTCTTACCATCACATTTTATTAAAAGATAAAACTTTTTTGTGATAATTTCAGTCACCAACTACTGTTCGTAGAAAAATGAAAGATCAGTCAATCAATCATAGTCAATGTAGAGCTTAGCACATATGTGAGTTATCCTAAGTAGCTACGGTTTGGGCACCCGGGCATTATCACAGCTCACATACAAATCAAATGACTTGTATAGCGCGTATCTATTTGGTGCCCTCTTGTACCAATATTTATGTGTTCAAATAAATAAATAAATCAGTGAAAGTGTGTAAGAAAGTGTCTCACTTCTGATTGACACGTTTTATCCCTCTTCTTTCAATGTTTCAAACAACAACCGATGGATAAACATTTCAAACAGTAACCGATTTATCGTTTTTCAAAATTCCTTATGAGACCTGAAAACCGTCAATTTAATCTTGTATGAAGACATATGTTAATGAAAACTATCGAAGAATCCAAAATCACGAAGAAAACGTTACAGAACTGTGAAGCTTTCATTAGAAGAATTAGGGTATCGGGATTTCCGGTTGGTCTACGTCAAATTCTATTTGCAAACGATTGGGGCGACGCAACGAAAAGACCGAATGTATGTTGCATGACAACACCTCAATGTTAGTAACCAACACTCTAATAGGAGATATAAGGCCTTCTGGATAACTCTATACTCAATACAGAAGTTAAAAATTGAAAAGGAGTAAATGTGCTTTGTAGTAACATATAGTGATGTACCGCTACATCACTATATGTTACTACAAAGCACATTTGCTCCTTTTCAATTTTTAACTTCTGTATTGAGTATAGAGTTATCCTTAAAATACACACACATATTCACACTGAAATGCAGTTTGATTTAATGAAAACAGCCAAAAATGCAATTACTTTTATTCGTAACAGAAAAAACAATTTGTGAAAACGTTACATTTAAATTATTACTACTATTAATACATTTCCAATTTACTTTAGACATATTTTGTGTCATATTTGCCAATCAGTCAAAATTACAGAAAATAACAGTTTCAACAATTAATCAATAGTATCATCAACGATCGTATTTTACCTTTCATATAAATGCTCAATGATAACTGAACAGTTATAAAAGCATCAACATTTAAAAAGCAAAGTGGCATGTTACAATTTACATCCAGAAGTTGTCTTGGGTAGATAACAATCGAAAACCAGAGAGCATTGGGTAACTGTTTCTCCTTAGTAAAGGAAGGTGTGATAAATGGACTAAGAAATATCGAATGTGAACTGACTACCTACCCAAAGTGTAGGAATTTTGACCAGAAAATATGATAGTCAATAACACATTGATTTATTTTCGTACTGCTTTGAACATAAACCTTTGTATGTATGTATGTATTAACTAGGTATGAAAACTATATTACTTGTTTGAAGAGCTGCGAAATATATTATCAACAAAAATACTAAAAAAACCGAAACCCTCAATATATTTCAAAAGATAACTGAGGTATCCGATATATTTCCTATTCAAAGTAAGCAACTCACTACCTATCATACAGCTCAGATTGTCTGCCAATCACTCTAAAATATCAACACATATTACAAAAGCAAAGAAAAATAGAACTCTGGTCATTGACTCATCAAAAATGTCGACGCCATTTTAAGAAGTAGGTAGAAGGAAAAATAAAGAGATAAGACAGCTGAAAATCGAATGACATATAAAAGTAAGAAAACACGTTCAGAATTCAAAGCATTACAAACGCTTGAGTCTTTTTGGATTAATAAAAACATTTTTGGTTAGGAGTAGTAGACAAGAAATCCTAAACATTGATTCTGTGCTAGTTTGTACTCGTCACTGTTCACAAAGCTCAGTGACAATATTTCATACTGTGAAACTGGTTCTTAAAATCGTATCTTACAAAGTGCATTAGTTTACTTATGAATCCAGGTACGCCCTGCTGAAGTATATCAACTAACACGAAGTCAAGATTGAGGATTTCCTGCTAACTTCTTGTAACGACCTAAAACTAAAACAGACTGCACAGAATATTATCGATTGATTGAAGTTTGACATCCACACTACTTGATCCCAGTTCAGGGATCTAGAGTTTAGGCGTTCGTGAGTGAGACCACATGTCCTGGTTGCAGGGTCGTAGACGAACACTGCTGAAGAACCTTATACTAGGAATAAACGGTCGTCCAGTGCCTTCAACTTCACAATGGCTGTCTAACTTAGATTAGTTTGCGATTTCGATGATACATAATTTTCACTCACCTTATTGACAGCAAATAAACAATCCAACAATGTTAAGTGATAGGTAGATGCACCAAAAGAGGCATCTCTGAAAAAGATTCGGAAATATTTGGAAATTATACGATCAATTAACAGGTAGAAAGATTGTAAAACAAAAAGGCAATAAAATTAGTAGTTATTGTCCGGATTGTCACAAATTTAATTAAATATACAGAAAACCAACTCAAGAACGAAAGTGATGGAAAATCACTCTTCATCTCATCATTTAATTTCATAGAATAGTAGTGATTAACAAACTCCATCATTTTGTACACCGATATACTTAATTGAATTGTTAATTTATTCAAATCAATTGTCTTTAGGAATAGTCCATAACATAAATCAGATTATCAAAAACTGCAGTAATATAATCCACTTCTATATTTTTGACAAGTAAATGATATTGCAAACAAATAAAAGCATTAGTACGTAATTATTAATAGTTACGAATAATTTTTAATCTAACTACTGGTCATCAATAGATCTTTTAATATAACATGTACAAATATTATTAATTAATTGGTTTTGTAGACTTGAACTCTGACCTTATAGTTGTAGATTATGTGTATTGTTAACTGGTGAATAAAAGTTACTCATTTGACCGGAACACCTTCAATCAAAAGCTTTGACATTTTCCATTGAAAATTCGTATCCCCAAATTTGAATATGTTCATTTATAATATGTAAAAATGAAGTGATGTTCGTAAAATTGAAAACAGTAGTTAATTTGTTGAGCATAATCTTTCGATTAATTGTAGCAGATTAATTCAAAGTTCATATAAACCTTCTTCTCTTATTGTGTCCAAGAGACTGTATAATATTTAATAAAGAGAATTTTACAGGTTTGTAAATTATCCTGAATTCAAATAATTTCGATGATCTAATTGTAACAGCTGAGAAATTTCTTATATGAAATAAAATTTTATTTTCTTTCTAGTTCTATAAGACAATTTGAAACTTGACAGTAGGTAGTTTCTAACATTTCATAAATGTTCATTATTTTTGAAAGAAATTTAGAAATTAGTTCTTATTACATTAGAAAAGTTATATACTGTAATGTATCTTTAACTTTTTTAAATAACGATTTTACACAAAAGTATTCATGAGTAGTCAAGCTGTTTGCCAGTGTGGCTTAGGATTCAATGTGGTTTAACGTTTTAACACACAATTTTTTGTTAATGGTTCCCGTTAAAAATTTCGAAACCAAACTTTATTTTTCATCCATTCAAAAGATATCTTTCTCAAGTTGTATGTTAAATTTCTTGTAGACACATTCATACCGCCTTAGTGTTTATATTGTGTAAGCCAAATTTGTCTCAGTATACTTCTGATAATCTATTCGCTAAATATGCCAAATGGTTATTCGATGCTTGGACTATTTTGATCTGGCTAGAGAAAAAATAAATCTACATCAAACTAAATAACCCTATGATAAACAGAAGACCTGTAAAATTTCTAATCAATTGTAAATCATAAAACAGATACTATATATTTCACTTAAATGAACCATTTTAACTAAAAAATAATATATTTCTCTAAACTTGTTTAAAAGATTTTTTTGATTATTGAGAAATCTAGTTTTTTTAAAAAAAAGACGCGCCTCTCTGATACACATATACGTGCTTCATATTTTGTTGTTCTGTATGAAGCGAATGATTTCAGTAGTATTAAAAAAACTAATCTCAAAATACCATTTGAAGTAATTAATAGTAATCGATCTACTGATACACATCAAACCAATTCATACATATATGCAATCAGTCAATAAGATTCCACTAGACTAATTATTTTCTAAACTAGTTTACAATCAAATCATTATATTATCCGAATAATTCGAGACCTTTGTAGTGTTCTTTTCAGTAACATACGTAATCATTTTCCTTGTATTATTATTCTTTCAAAATCAATATATGATGAACTTTAGTACATAAAAAGCTTGATAATTAATATAAGGTAAATGTTGATGAATCATTGATCCACCGAATTTTGAATTTTAAAACAGAAACTGGAAATATGATAACTTCAATTGACGCGGTATAATTGATTACTAAACAAAATTCTTTTCATCAAATTTAATTCATTTATTGCTTGCTAATCTATGAAATAATCCATTTAAATTGAGCTGATATCTAAACTTATGTACTTCAAATAATATCATTAACAATAAAATAGTATTAGTTGAAATTCTAAAGTTAAAATTATACAATTTTCCAGTAAATTAAGAAAAAAATGAATTGTTGTAAAATATGACAAATTAGATTAATTATTGTTGTTATTTAGGAAAAAGTACAAATTTGGACTATTCAACTACAAGATATTTAAGTTGAAATGAATTAACAGAAAACATGTATATGGATGAATGGCTGAAACAGCACAATAAATCTATAAATGGTACGTGTTCAAATAAAAATCAATTAACAAACTATCTTCTTGCTGGGGAATCTGATACCAATAAAACTGATATTGTCAAAAAAATTAAGAGTAATGACAATTACAGATTTTCACCACACATATAATCAATGATCTTTAAAAAATGCATATTTACCATGTAAAATCCGTGATATGAGTTTGTAAAATTAAGAACATGTGATGTGAAATTACATGAAAATATGAATACAAACATGAAATTATGCTTATATTACGGAGAAAATTTCATCGACTATTATGATAGAAGTGATCACAATCAGTTGCTAGTGGAGGTAAAGACATCAATTTGACTGCTGTACTAAGTTACATTATTCAAGTAATCATTATTACAATTTATTGTTTATGGCATAAAATCAATTTTTTCAGTGGGTCATCAAAAAATGTCCCAAGTAAAAAAAATAACTATTATGAAAGTAAATCCGATTGGGAGATTATGTACTAGTAATATTAATAAGAAAAAGAATATTACAGGTTACAATTTAAATAAGAAGATAATGTTGACACAGAGTGATGATGGTTAGAATCTTATAGAAATTATTAACTATCTCAAAATTGCAGATTCATCTTCTTAACAACTATGAAATAACAATAAATCTATGTCCAGAGTATACTTTCTACTACCTGGCAACATTCAACATAGCTAAAACATATTTCATTTGTTTTGAAGAACATTATTCATAAAAAATAAAAGAACTCGCTGGTCAATTGTATACTTTTATCATTCAGTTTCAATAAAAGCTTAATTATACTTGAGACGAAAGCTGCTGGAATTAAACCGCTTTAAGACTTTTAAAATCAATGTTTCTGATATGACGGGATGAAAATTGATCTACTCATTATGATTTTTGTTCAACATTACTTCAGCTTTAATTCAATATGATGATTACTCAGTAAAGTATTTGTTTCATTTTCCCCTATGACATTTTATTCTGTATAATATACGATATTCTTGTATTTAGTTAACATGAACTATACTCAGCATACGATTTGCTATAACTAAGTGTTTTTCATATATGTGATTTTATTCTAATTATTAATCAAAAATGGGTGTATGAATCAATACATGAATGAGTGTATTTTCGACTAGACTTGTCGTGGTTCTTCGTGCTTCTGACTGCTTGTGGAATATATTTCCCTCTTCGAACTTAGACTTCTCTATCCAGTTAGCTGGGCTTGGACGTGTCGGATTAGCTAGCTTATCTGTCATTGTGTCACAGAGTCTTCGTTTTGTTCTCAGATTAGGTGAACTAGTAATCTCTTGAAACACAACATTTTCGAAAGTCTCATCAATATTTGTTAGTAAACCATTGCAATATCTTCATGGTATAAGTGAATAGGGCATTCAAATACACTATAAACTCTTAGTACAGACTAGTCACGTTTAAGGCATTTATTAAAAGATAGTTAACAAAAAGCTCGATTTAGCCGAAAATTGTACTGGGTCATAATATTCATTTCAAGAAAAAGAACGGCTAAAGGGTGCAAACACTATGCATCAAAATCCAAGTTATATACAAGTTGATACTCGGGTTCATTTGATTTATTACTATAATTTGAAAAAGACAAACCATTAGTGAGAAAGGAGTATATTACTTGCAAAATCATAGACTTACATATTACTCTAGTGAAATAAAGCATCTGTTGATTGGAAGGATGAGTAGTATAGACAGATAACCAACTTTCAGTGAATGGGTTTCAATTTGTAAAATATATAGTTCTTACTGCGATGTTCATCACAATAGTCCTCGTTAGTTACATATTTTTTAATACCACAACAATAATATCCACAAGGTAATTGAGTTATGTTGTTTTATTTATATACACACAAGTATTTTCACTGATCTAAGCTACAGCGAATAGTATAACATTACAGTACTTTTAAATTCCAACGGTTTTAAGACGTTCTGCAGTTCAGCAAACTAATTTACTCCATTGTTAACAAACTACACTCAGAAAATTTCTTTTATCTATATCAGATGACCTTACAGTGATTTGTTTAGCAGATATAGCAGTTGTTATATTATCTACCAGTTTAAGCCTAAACTTTGCAAATAAAAACAGTATGTTCAGTCACCCAATCTCCCATGGTCTTGACCTCCATTTTCATAATCCACCATTTTTTACTTTATTATTTTTACTCTTTTCCAATTATTTCACAATTATTAATTGGCAATTATTACAACTTTTAATTAACGAATTCAAGATAGCAATCAGCAACAGGATCGAAGCCTTACAAGATCTATTCAGGAGAAACTACTGTCGACGACAATTAGTAATGGATTAAAGTAGCACTAACTTCAACGTGTCAGGACGTTCTGGGCTCCAAGGAACATCATCACGAAGAATGGGTCTCTATCGAAACCCTCGTCAAGACTCAAGAAGGGAAGAACGAGAATACAGCAATTAACAACAGCCAAATACGAACAGAGGGAGTCAAGGCACAAGCTGAATATACAGAAGCAAACAAGCAAATGGAGTATTAGAGCTGACAAGCAGAGATACGTCGAAGATCTAGCAATGACAGTGGGAAAAGCTGCAAGAGAAGGAAATATGAAATGTTTACATGAAACAATGAAGAGGCTCATAGAGAAATATTGTAAACCAGAGAGATTAGTCAACGACAAAGAAGGCAAGCCAATCATTGAAATTTAAGAACAGCCGGACAATTGCGTAGAGAACTTTGAAGAACTCTTGAATAGACCAGTCTCACTGAACCCACTGGACATTGAAGCAGTACACACAGACCTTCCTATGGATGTCACTCCACCAACGATGGGAGAAATCAGGATTAAATAAGAAAGATTAGTTCAGCGAAGAGTTCTCTTTTTGGCCAATTCATTTTCAAAGCTGTACAATCGCAAATATATATACTTATTTTTACAGGATGATAATAGTACTGATAATAAACTTGTTATACATGGTGACAGTGAGGTTAAATAAATAAACAATTGGTTTGTTTTTATTTCCATGATCATTCCGATTACATTTCATCTCAATTTCAACATTTTATTTTATCATGCTGAGCCATCCTTTCCCAATGATAATTTCCCTATCTATATTTTGATGAATACTTAAGCCACTAGGAATCAAACGATTAAACTTTCCTTGTTATAAAAAATTTTTAATACCTTTGTTTATTTAACCTCACTGTCACTATTTGTAACAAGTTTATTATCCGTACTATTATCATCCTGTAAAAATAAGTATATATATATTTGCGATTGTACAGCTTTGAAAATGAATTCGCCGAAAAGAGAACACTTCGCCGAACTAATCTTTCTTATTTAATGTCATAATGGGTGTATTCCGTTTATTAAGGAATCAGGATGGCTATCAGACAAATGAAGAATGGGAAAGCAGCAGGACCTGACTAAACCAGCTGGAGCACTGAAATCAGATGCAATACTATCGGCACTAGGAAAAGTTCTTAACAGCGTTGCTGAGCCAGATGAACGGTTCAGTAGACGCCCGACTTCGAGATCAACAGATCGGGTTCCGTAAGGATCGGTTGTGTACAGACCGAATCGCGACACTACGAATCATCGTTGAACAATCAATTGAATGGAATTCGTCACTATACATCAACTTCGTTGACTTTGAGAAAGTATTTGACAGTGTGGATACGGGAACCTTCTCCAAAACTATGGTGTACCTGAGAAAATCATCAAAATCATACGACGGACTGCATTGCAAAATCGTGCATCAAGGACAGCTGACAGACGCATTCCAAGTGAAGATCGGTGTTAGACAAGGCTGCTCACTCTCTCCCTTTTCCTTTCACCTGGTGGTCGATTGGATTATGAAGACCTCTACATCTCAAGGAAAGCACGGAATATGATGGAAAGCTTGGATGCAGCTACATGATTTGTTCTTTGCAGATGACCTAGCTCTTCTATCCCATACACACCAACAAATGCAGATGTAGACAACTAGTATAGCAGCAACCTCTGAATCATTAAGCCTCAAAATACATAAGGTAAAAAACCGAGATCCTCAAATACAACACGGAGAACATCAACCTAGTCACACTTGATGGAGAAGCACTGGAACAGGTGGAGACGTTCGTGTTCCTGTGCAGTATCACTGGTAAACAAGGGGGATCTGATGCAGAAGTAAATCCGAGGATTAGCAAAACAAGAACAGAGTCTCTACAGTTGAAGAACATATGTAACTCGAAACAATCATCAGCCAACATCAAATTCAGAATCTTCAATACGAACGTCAAGATAGTTCTACTGTATGGAGCTGAAACTTGGAGAAATACTACAACCATCATCAGAAAAGTACAAGTATTTGTAAACAATTGTCTACGCAAGATACTCAATGTTTGTTGGCCGAATGCCATCAACAACAGCCTACTGTGAGAGAGAGCAAACCAGCATCCAGCTAAAGAGTAAATTAGGTAAACACACTGGAGGTGGATAGGTAATACACAGTGAAAATCAAACTGCATCACGAGGCAAGAGCTAACTTGGAATCCTAAAGGGAAACGAAAAAGCCGAAGACTAGAGGACACATTGAGCTGAGAACTGGAAGCAGACATCCGAAGGATGAATATCAACTGGAAATGACAGGAAAGCATTTCCCAGGACAGAGTTCGATAGAGAATGCTGGTATGCAGCCTGTGCATCTTCACGAGGGTTAATGGGCGTAAGTTAGTAAGTACAACTCTGTCCTTAATAGCTACCAAGTAGACAATTATTGTCACTTTATAACTTTTTTACTATCCGATTATTACATAACTTCCTTTTAATATATGATTCTCGATTCTTGACAATATACCACTTCAAGTATTTTAAACATTTAGCACCATTCTATATTACTACGGAATAGCAAATAAAACTAGCTATATTGTGCAGCTTAAGTAAGTGAAATCATCGAAAAGAAAATTTTATTCGCTGAATTGTCTTCTTTGCTCGTCAATGATACAATGGTTCTCTTTCGTTATTGTTAAAAGTTGGTTCAGTCAATAAATCATCATACTTTTCTTTCAAAAATGGTTTAAAAAATATATTTTAATGTTTAAAAGAGGTCACTGTCTATTCTATAGGCAACCCAGAATCATTTTTAACTGACACGAGAAAAAAACAAAATATTAACTATTCCATTTATTTTTGTGATGGAAATTGAGGAACAGTGTATCTGCATTACACAATCACAGAAAGTCAAATATTATAGCAATGGTTCCACATATTATTTTGAACCAGGAAGGTGAAATCAGTCAGTCAGTCATAATCACTGCAAAGGCTGGAGCAAATATTCGTCAACATAAGTTGCCACACAGTATCAGCGTAACGACAGAAAATGGAGAGACAGAATTGAAAGGTGAGTGTGAAAAAATAATGGAACTAAAGACCTAAAGAAAGATAAAGAGATGTACCTGGACAATTGTAAACGATTTCAGTCCATGCTACCCAAAGTCTTCAACCACTACTCGTAATGATTACCACGTGGACCTCAACCACATATTTTGTACTACCAATATGACTCCAAAGACTAATGAAAAATACTTGTTTGGTCGCTGTGGGCTTTCCTTCAATTTGCTGGTACACCAATAAACACCTCATGTTGAGGTAGGGGTGGTTAGGCATACGCAATGCATGTTTTAACCACCTCAATCGATAAAGATATACAACCTAACCAACCGATTTCCCAACTCTGTGCAATACCGAGTCTATATATATATATATATATATATATATATATATATATATATATACGGATGTGTGCGATGCTAGTACAATAATAATCACTAGGTAATTTTGTACTTTTTTAACAAATGCACTTATATTTTTAGCTGTTCATATGACGATAAAACTAGTTTGAAGTGAAATTAAGTCAATATTTTTTATTCTTCAATATTAGTATACCCGGTTGTGGTAATTTTTTCTGACTGATCATCTTTCTTTATAACAGTCTACAACTTTATATTTGATAAATGACATATATAATAGTTTTTTTCAACAACAAAAAAATTCTTATTAATATCATACGTTCTATTTATGTATTTGTAAGTGAAATATATTGTAAAATTTTCAAGGAGAAACATTTAACACATTAGCTGCATACCATGTTTCAAAAGTCTAAATGACATCTAATTTAAAGAAATATGTCTATAAAAAAACTAGTTTTTTAGAAAAGATTAATCTCAATTCAGAAAAAACTTCCAGTTTATTATCGTTTTTTTCTCGATTCTTAGCATTTGTCATTATTTATTAAAATTACCCTGAAAATTCAGTATTCAGTACTCAAGTGTTTAATCGGTGATCATTTGAATGCAATTAATTAATTAATGTATGAAGATAAAATATACTCGGTTACTGATCTTAAGTCATCGGTTTATGAACTAAATATTCAACATTCGACTGAATAAAATGTCACGCTTAATTTCTAACTAGATATCAATCTAATCATCTCTCTACATTCAACTGATTTAGTAGTAAGAAAATAAGCATTTTTTATCAGACAACGTAGAACTTCGTACGTACGTACATCAGTCCGAGTTGCCATGCTACATTAGCACAGAGATACAATTTTCGATTCAAATACCATAGTGGTAGAGGCAGTAAAAGTATAAGCAGTAATCGGAAAGATCAGGGTTTGAAGATGTTATTCAAAAAGTATAATCCAATGAAATAAATTTGGAAAGAGGAAAAATAGGGGACATGAAGAATTCAGGAGATTAGAATTTGGGAGAACACAAATAATAGATGCACCTGCGCCATTGCAAACCACTTTGAGTCATGTTATTCAAGGTCTCTAACCATCGGTTGCTATCATCTTGCGGATCCCAATCAGGTAGTCTACACCTACCAACATGGCTCAGTCTACTTGTCAATGACTTTATGGATTTGTGCCATGTTTTGGTCTGTTCGCCCCTACGTTTCTTCCAACCTACTCCTACACCATAAAACATCACACGTCGGGGCAGTAACAGCACACGAATTTACGCTAAATTTACTGAACTGACCCATCTGTTAAATACAAATAACTTGTAAAACTTCTGTAATTTAGTTTGTCATTTGATGTTGGTAAACTTCTCAGCTATGTAAAAAAAACAAATATAAATGCACATTTCACGACTGGATTCAAAAACTATTTTTAGAAGCATTAATCTACATGGCTACAATACATTCCACCGTTCTAACTCTAATCCTAAATATCAACCGTATATATATAAAATATCCGTAGTACCCATCATACTGTGCAAAGTTCATCTCTTTTATAAACTTACCGAAAAGGAAGAAATGGTCGATTATCATTTAAAGTTAAATGTTTATACGCTTCTTCTGGTGTACGTCCCAAATATATGATCTAGTAAATTATGTACAAATATATATATATATATATCTTTTTTCGAATTTCAATGTGTACCTGATAACTTCCAATGAGAAATGCAGCATTCGCCCGTTTACGTGAATCATGTGATGTAAAGTGTGCAATTTTCTTTTCGTTTAAACTACCAGACTAATATAAAAAAAGACATATGAATAACGAAAGCTTCTCAATAATTGTTACCTTGAGCTTTTTGTTTAGTTTATTACAGTATTTGTATAGTTGACCAAGACTCAGTGGACCGAAATCTGCATAAAAACTGATAAAAATGAATAGTAAAAATAATAATAATGGTAGTGATAATAGTAATATGATTAACTTAAACTACAACATACTTTTCATAGCATAATTCTTCATCAATGGAAAAGAAATGAATGGAAGAATTACTTCTTGGTGGAGTTTTGCAAGATAGGAAATAAAGACGATCTAAAAGAAACAGAAACATAACAGAAAATAAATTTTTAAAGATGATGTGAACTAAACATTAGATTATTAATTCTAACTGATGATGTGACATCTTAAAGCGATACAAAAACTTTTGCTGGTATCAGAGACAATATAGGATACCTTTAAATATAGGTCTTTCTATTCATCATAACAATGTCAGAACCTTTACCTGGACGACTTTAAAAAGAACATCAATCTGTTAAGAAACAAAAACTTTTGGTTGCTCGTATTTCCTTTACGGCTGATTAAAATGGTAGGCAAAGAAGCTAAAAAGACATCACAGATTTAACATCCTATGAGTAGAATTATTTGAGGAAATCTTGTTTCTTTAACATACTTTTAATAAAATAAAAAGGTTTAGTTTGCTGTGAACCTAAACTTTGTCTAAGTGTTAAATTCAATAACTAGGGGTAACCTGATCATCGTCAAGACTTTGGCAAGGACACAAAAGGCTTGAATATCGCTTGTCAACCTAAGTCGCGCATGAAATTTGCAAGATTGTAGCATTATCAAGTTCACTAAGATGATTTAGTTGCGAAGCGTTTATTGTCTTTCTCCAAAACTTCATCAAATTCTATTTCATGCTGATATGAGCTTTAAACTACTCCACGACTCTTGGATCAGTTTGTTCTGGTAATCTTATTTGTGGTTTGCTGCCTTCATAAGTTTCCCTGTCATCAGAAATGTAGTAACAGAGATATCCGATATATTTCCTATTCAAAGTAAGCAACTCACTACCTATCATACAGCTCAGATTGTCTGCCAATCACTCTAAAATATCAACACATATTACAAAAGCAAAGAAAAATAGAACTCTGGTCATTGACTCATCAAAAATGTCGACGCCATTTTAAGAAGTAGGTAGAAGGAAAAATAAAGAGATAAGACAGCTGAAAATCGAATGACATATAAAAGTAAGAAAACACGTTCAGAATTCAAAGCATTACAAACTCTTGAGTCATTTTGCTTCAGTAAGAGAAATGTTATATATATATATATATATATATATCAGTTTGAGTTTTCTATCCTCGACGTTTAGAAACTTTATTTACGCACAAAGATATATAAGATTGTGTATATTATTAATAATAGCATTTCATTATTGTGTTAAAAGTTTAACACAAACAAAATTTTGAAACGAAATGCAATGATTTTATTGCCATAATTAAATAATCACCATTCACAATGTTAATCAAATTTAAAATTTGATGATTGCATGATTACCTGCCATAACTTGAAGCAAAAGTCCATTAATAACAGTTTCATGTTCTAAACATTTCTATGCACTAGATAAACGCAAAGATTACTCGTCTAAACCTAACCGTTTATGAAGCAAATATTACTTAAAAACAATCGAAAGTAAGCTATATTTTTTAAACCGAACACATATTTCTATGAGTTGAATGGTACTTAAAAACATATATTAGTGAAAAAGTATACTTCTGTGAGAATACATGTGTGCTCGTTACCGTCATCTTTAAATTTAAATATTGAACAAATACCAAACGATAAAAGTTTATCCCTTACTGGATATAATCGCATACAAAAGTATTTTAAGTGCACTGAGTTGTATTGTTTTTTCGCACTTAATCACATTAGTTTTATTGTGTTCTTTAAATAAAAGTACTTTACTTAAAGTTTCTTATGCATTCGCAGTGGCGTTTACTAGGCCATTAATTCGATGCTTTCGCTAATTACTTTCGTATTCATAGCAATTTCCCAAGTGCCTTGGTACAGCCGAGGGCGAGGAGAGTCAGCTTTCCCCCTCGAAATGCTCTTACTTGGCCATGTGCATAGAACCACTGTCAAGGAAATCCTACTCACTGCCTTCTCGCGACGAGGGTGTTGTTGACGAAATTGAGGGGACGAAAAGCCAATGTCAAGCAAATAAACCGAGTTGATAGGTACGGAGGGTCCACCTAGAGGAGTTGGAAAACATTCATTCCAAACCAATGGTGTATATGAGCTCCAGGATCCTGAGGAAATAAATAGAGTATGAACCAATTACTGGTCATCGGCTACCATCGGACTGCATCTTCTTTCGTTGCTTCATTGCCTTGTGGATCAGACCTTCAGGTTGAAGGCTCGGAGTGTGACCCCTAAGAAAACCACCTGCTTCGGTTTGGGCACCTGGGTATTATTACAGCTCACATACAAATCAATTGAGATTCGTGTGGCGCATATGTATTAGGTGCGCCTTTGTACTAATATTTACGTGTTCAAATAAGTAAATAAATAATAACCGGTCCCAATCATTCCCACGACAAGTCTGATGGCTAGCCTAATGCTCTCGTCTGTAGTATTTTAAATTACTGACTTTTCTCAAGTTTTCCATCTTACCTACTTGTTAACAGTGTGACATATTCTAAAACACGAACGAAATTAATTTTGATATGTGCACCTATTACAATAGGACAAATTAAATCTGCCATAATATTCAATCAAATGAATCCCTAATCTATAACAGTGAGTTGAACGTCTTAAAAATACAGTATTCAGTGGATGGAATCGCCAGTTCTTGGAGCACGATAAAATAGAATCTAGCTGAAAAAAACTTTAGTATCAACTGCACGACCTTCTTGTGATTAAGAATGATCCGGAAAATAGTTATCCGGAAAACAACTATCATCTTGAGATAGCTCATCTAAATATAACAAATAGACCCCATCTGTTGACACTACAAAAATAAGACCGACATTTTGAGCACTCGACAGGCGAGCACGTCTAAACGAAACTTATACATAATTAACTGTTTGGTAAGGAACACTGACAAACCGGAAAATCCGGACTACTAGGAATTTGTTTCACGGTGATATGACGGGATGAAAAGTCAAAATTAAATTGATCTACTCATTATGATTTTTGTTCAACATTACTTCAGCTTTAATCCAATATGATGATTACTCAGTAAAGTATTTGTTTCATTTTCCCCTATGACATTTTATTCTGTATAATATACGATATTCTTGTATTAAGTTAACATGAACTATACTTAGCATACGATTTGTTATAACTAAGTGTTTTTCATATATGTGATTTTATTCTAATTATTAATCAAAAATGGGTGTATGAATCAATACATGAATGAGTGTATTTTCGACTAGACTTGTCGTGGTTCTTCGTGCTTCTGACTGCTTGTGGAATATATTTCCCTCTTCGAACTTAGACTTCTCTATCCAGTTAGCTGGGCTTGGACATGTCGGATTAGCTAGCTTATCTGTCATTTTGTCACAGAGTCTTCGTCCTGTTTTCCCTCTAAATGCAAGCTGTTGCTTCAGGACTGGTCTGCGTCAACACCTGAACTAAGGATCAGGAGTGAAGTAGTCGAACGCGTTGACAACTTCACTTATCTTGGAAGTCTGATCAGCCCTAATGGGTCAGTGTCTGACGAAATCTCTACACAGATTCGGAAAGCTCGTTTGACTTTTACCAACTTACGTCACCTATGGCGAAGGCGAGATATCCATCTATCAATTAAGGGATGAGTATACTGCTTGGCAGTTCGTTCTGTTCTACTTTACGGCTGCGAAACATCGCCATTAAGAGTAGAAGATACTCGTAACTTACTAGTATTTGACCACAGGTGCCCTAGAAATGTTGCTCGCATCCGCTGGGATCATCGGGTAAGTAATAGTAAGGTTAGACGCAGGGTATTAGGGAATGATGGTAAATCAGTTGATTAGGTTGTGAATCTTTATCGACTGAGATGGTTGGGCCACGTGTTACGTATCCCTGAACACCGATTACCACGACGCGCAATGCTGACTAGTGTTCAGAATGGTTGGAAGAAAGTTAGGGGCGGCCAAACCGAAACGTGGCATCAGTGCTTGAAGTCACTAACTTCTAGTCTTAGCCATGTTGGTAGATGCAGACTACTTGGTTGGGGTCTGCGTGACTATCGTAACCAGTAGTTGGAGACTCTTGGTGACATGGCTCAGAATCGATCACAATGGTGTAGGTGTATACACTCTCTGTCTTCTCTTAAACTGTGAGATTAAAATTGCTTTATCTCTCTCTTCCTACCAACTAATTCTTTCTTCCTGTACTATCTCCATATACGCAATCTTTCTTCTATATACTACTACCTTTGATGTGACTACTTCTATGAGTGGGGTGTTCATCTTGTTGTGCTAATGCAGTATGGCAACTTGGACCGATGCATATATGTGCCTGGTCCTATGTTGCAGCTGACTGACTGACTGATTAGATAAATATGTACTTAATGGTTAAGCCGATCGACTTTCACAGGTTTAAACCCCGATAAACCTAATTTGACCAGTGTAACCAGGCCGTATTTTTAGCCAACACAGATTGTGGTCTGCATCCAAGTATCTTGTGAGTGAGTTAAATAAAATAAAAACAGAATAAAATGCACAAATCAATAAAATTAGAGAATAAGAATGTTTTTTGCTTAGCGGATGATTAGTGTTAACTTAGTTAACACACATAACACTAATTTTGACTTTCAATCAATATTCTGAAATAATCGCAACATAAGAACACTGTGGTTGTCTGAACAACCACTGTACGAGAGCGGCAGATAAAAGCTCGGGTTCAGAACCTTAAAGTGGGGTTTACCTAATTTAAAAGATTTTATAAAACGTCTGAAAGAAATCGTAGACTTTGTCAACTACGACTGTTAAACAATAACAAATTTAATCTAAACATTACGTATTCAAAGACCTGTCAAAATGGAAGGTTATTCATGGCATTTTTGACACTTCAAATCCATCCCAAACGGTGTTATTTATTGTCATAATATTGATAGTAAATTCTCTGTACGACAATGTTTTACGATTAGAAACCACGTACTCTTCATTTATAGTTAGCTTTAAAGTTATTTGTCTGTACATTTTACTCACCTAAATAAATTTTGCATATTTATTTTTTCACAAATTATGCTTGAAGTAATAATGTAGCTAGAACTGGACTATACAAAATGACATGTCAGTCTTTGGCACAAAATAGGGAAGGAAAATCATGTAATAATTTAAATATTAGAAGTATCGACCAACACAGCTGACACTGGAAGGTAATAATGATTACGTCCCCGTCAAGAGAATAATAGTTTGTGAATAACGCGGCAGGAGAAATTCGGCCTTTAACTTCAAGGTATGCTTAACAACCAGAGACAAAACGCTTTCGATATACGGACAGAGAATTTTGTACTCTTTAAGAATTGGAAATGAGAAACTATGTATTGAACATTTTTGAAATACATCGAAGAAAATCTTATTAATCGACCATACATTAATACTTTGTTCTAATACGGACAAGCGTGCGGTTACCTAATTTACAATTACCACTCTCAACACTTCATCATAAAAACTGCATCTCAACTTTTGTAATCATGAAATGTGCTCTTTGTGTCACCGGTTCTACACATTAACGTTGAGCATTGTTAAAAATCTTGTCACAACAATTCAAACTGAAATAATTTATCACACTTACGCAGCTGGTGCAGCGTGAACTTACAGAAAAACATACAATTATGTTCTACGTAATTATATGGCTGAATACAAATATGGTAATGGCCTACCAATATAAAACAACTTCAAAATATATCAAGCTATTAAGTTCGAATTATACAGCACCCACATATCTTCACGGACGGTGAAATCATTTTGTACTTAACTAAAGATTGCAAGCTATTTTGGACCATGTTGATAGATGCAGACTACTTGGTTGGGGTCCGCGTGACTATCGTAACCAATGGTTAGAGACTCGGGGTGACATGGCTCAGAACCGGTCACAATGGCGTCGGTGTACACACTCCCTGTCTTGCTGTATACCGTGAGGTTAAAATTACTTTATACCTTTCTTTATACGAACTAATTCTTCCTTCCTGTTTAATATCCTTATACGCAATCTTTCTTTTATATATTACTACCATTGAAGTAACTACTATGAATTTGGTGTTCATCTTGTTGTGCTAATGAAGTGTGGCAAATTGGACCGATGCATATATATACCTGGTCTTATGTTGTAGTTGACTGACTGATCCCGGGATCACATAGTTTCTTAGGTACTTTCGTATCTAGTTAAAGTTTAAGTGAGCCCATAACCACATTAAAATTAATAGACAACTTTCAAAATTGTTGGCTAGTTACATTGATCAATGTTCTAAAATGTCTTCGCACTGAAATACTGAAAAAGAATAATTCCATAAAGGAATAAGTACAAATCTAAACTTCTTTATACACTCTATCTGCTAGAAAAACGATGTATGAAAACGAGTTAAGACTCGACAAGATACATGAGTATCCCCTTAGGGACCGTACACCAATTGTTGATATTTACTGATGTTTAGTCTGAGACCTACAAGCGATTGAAAAATGTACTAAACCATTGATCATAAGATATTTGCTTGACATTATTGGTGATCGTATCACGTCCATGAATGAATTTACCAAAAAGATTTACTTAAAAATGGATTATCGTTCTGACAAGTATTGGTATGAATTATGGTTAAATAAACATAAATAAATATAGTAGTTTAACGACGAAATCACATAAGTAGATTAACCTACTTACTATACGAAAATAATCCAATAGTACGCATTAGACAGGTAAAATCACTCACAATATCCGTTATAAACATGTTGTTTCCACTTTTAAACTCCTCTTATAGACTTACCTCTAATTATACAGGATGCAACTGATAATAAACGTTCATTATCGACTTCATTTTTATCATAGGGCTTCAAGACCATTGAATTGAGATATAACCGAATCAAGAAGTATCCACGTATGTAACAGCCTTTAACGGATATAAACGAAGACAGTCCTAATTCCAAAAGGACGATAAAAGCTATTGAAGGAGAACTGAAGCATATGTTGAAGCTTTTTTAGAAAAGTACTAACAGATGACCTTGAATGGTCGACAAAAACCTATCCAAAAAAACATTCTGATCTCTCAGTCAGTCATTTTTCTATCTTATGCGTGACTTCATGAAGCTAAAAAAAAACCTGAAAATTACGCATTTTACGTATTTTTGGGTCTCTGAATGGAAAAGAGGACTCGAAACCTAGGAGTGACCTTTCTAGTCACATCAGATATTGTTGAACCCGTCTTGGATCGTGAAGACAACTTCAAAATACCCAATGGAATACATGTTACTTTCGGCTGACTTCGGTCAGCATGCCATGATACAGGACACTGAGGCTGGAACGCCGCTTATGAGGCACTCTGCACTGGCAGAAAACGAGGGAAGTGAAGTTCCTGAACTTCCCAACCCACTTTAAAGAATGATCATTTTGTAACCTTCAATGTATGTGATGCTGTAGAAAGTTCGTACCGGTCGATATCCATCGTTTTACCCATACAAGAAACAAGACTAGTGTTTACACAGTTTTTTATTCCGATCGCGGAACAGATCAGTTTAAGCCCAAAGTTCTCTTTTTCAAACACACATAATTTCCTACATTGCAACGTCAAAAAAGGATTGAATCAATAAAAATCCAAAACATGTACTTTCAGTTAAGTTTGACGACTATGATTTCAGCTGAAACTTAACTACCCACTGATATCTTAGATGACAACTTAGAATGCAACACATGACACATTTCCTATGTGAGAGAGTAAATAAAACAAGACCAGGAATCTCAGCAAACAATAATAGTCAATTCAAATCCTCAATATCAAATGAAACCGAACGAACAAGTGTGATATAGTCGAATTGGTGTTTTTTAACACCTAGAAATATAAGATAATCCAAGTTCTATGATAAACATTACATCTAGGGTTCGACCAGAAAACAAGGTACTACAGCTATAAAGTGGTTTCATGAGCGACTCATCATGCCCTTTAATAGTTCAAGACTGACTGAACATATGTGTGACGTGATAATATAAGGTTATTAACTAAACTATTTGCTAAACCATGGTCAGCTACAGCTCAATGTTTATGTAAAATCACTAATTCGGAGTAATGAACAAGAGAAGGCAATATCCAGAGTGATCAAAAACTCTGATGCTCGGCAATCCAGCCACTCAACAGAAAATTTCACTATAATGATGGACCGTTGTTTCTCATGGGGTGAATCGTTTTTGTCTTATCAAGGTAAAAATACAATAGATTCTGTGTTCCAATATATACACTCAAAAAAGTTCACAAGCCCAGATCAAACTACTTGTCAGCTGACTACCGACTTTCCTATTGAATCATCAACGAGTGGAATTCATTACCTCAGCACGTGGTTGAGGCTCCATCCGTCGACTTTTTCAAAAAAGAGTTGGATCAACTGATAGACCATCATTGTCAAGACTAACACAGGCTATCAAGCCTCCTGTCCTTTCCAAACTGAAACTTCTTGTTGATCACTTTTAGGGTTCTTGTTATCTTTGTAGTAAAAATTATTACCCGTACTTAATTTCTAAATAATAGAATTGGATTTTATTCGAGCTTTCTCTTTTGGATAAAGCAGGATTTTTCTGAGTAAATTAGGTTAATCTAGCTAGTAAATCATCAAACTTATGTGCTTGAGTAAAAACCTGAGTTAACAGTTGTGATTCGGAGATTACTGATCGCCACTTACCTTTCAAGATATTTGTTTATCAACATTTACCGAAACACTTCACTGGCTTAATGGGAAGAAAGCTTCGTAATAAAAACCCCAAAATCCGTGTTAGCTGTGCTGATTTTGTTTTGAAGAATTTTTGCAGATACCCTCGTACAACTGTATGAGAAATTTGCTTTTTCCCAACTGATCATAACCATTACATGTTCAAAATCTGTTAAGTAAATTCTTAACCTGATTTTCCGTAAATAATCTGTATTAGTTGGGCAACATTTATGAATATAAACTCGTACTTTTAAGTGTCACTTCAAACTGGACGAATGATTACAAAAGTATCACAAACATCGCAGCCTATCTGTACAGTGACATCTCCGGAAAGGTCAGTCAGTGACGATAAAATGAGTTTTAGAAGTAAATTTACATGTAACACAAGTTATTGTCTTTGTTACGAACTTCGTAATCTAAAGAATAATACTTATTTAGAAGGAAAAAAGAGAGAGAAAAGAAATGAACATCTAGTGAAAGGGTTCAACTATGATAATAATCATTGTGTAGTGATTACATACCTCTGAAGTAATTCAGGAATTTAAAAAATAAACAAATAAATAAAATAAGATAAGAAATCTTTTACTGCAATCGGTTATATACATGTAGATTTATGTAATAGTATACAGAGTGAGACCGGATATTAGTGTAAACATTTGTGTAATAATAATTAATAACGATGCTATGAAATTCACAATTACTTCAAGATGATAATCAAATATAAATTTCTATGTGTTATATATATGTGATGATAAAATGAATCCGAGTAGTTAATTTATTTAAGTGTACCGTGAGATAATTTGTTTTTAGTTATAGACTTTGGATGTTTAGGAATAATATATGTTTAGAAGGATAAGAGATTAAAATAATATCTAATGTGTCAGTTGACCAATAATGATATTAATAACAGTAATAGTTATAAATACTAACATAAGCAGACTTCATATATTAAGATGAATAGAAATTAAATAAAATAGACGTGAAAAGTTTCAAAGGTTACATTTTGCTCTCCAGTCAGTTAGATGGATGACGGACCTTGTCTGTATAAACCATTATTAAATATATTGATATTCAATAGGTGACACAATCCGGAAAGAAAATCATCAAGGAGATTTCTGAACCGGGTTGCAGTTTCACTGCAACAGAGGTTTACTGACAGTCTGTTCCCCATGATTGAGTAGCGAATAACTAAAAAATTCTGGTGTAAGTTTATGTGGGTTTTAGGAATCGTTAGAATATTGTCGTTATTGTGTAGATCGTGGGATGATATCATACAGTATGAAGGGTTGGATACCGACGAGTAGGAAATACCGTTAATAAGCCGGTAGATAAATACAAGGTTTAGTTTGATACGTCTGATCCAGAGAGGTTCTAATTTGAGTTGTTGACATTTTTGATTATAGTCTTTGTTGTCGGAATACCCCAAAACAGCTTTTGCGAAACTTCTTTGAACACCTTCAATTTTAATCAGGTCATTATGCCTGCAATTACTGTGAACTAAAATACCATATTCAAGAATGGGTAAGATACATTTTCGGTATAATAATAATAATCTCGATTTGATATTATTGAAGTTTATCATTATGAATCCTATGAGCTTTCTAGCTTTGGATACTTGTGTTGCAATGTGCTCAGAAAAATTCAGACTGTTGCTATATCTTAAGCCCAAGTCACGAACAGTGTTGGTAGGTTTGAGTGTATGTTTGTGTATAGCCAGATTTAGGTTAAGGCAGCGGCCAGTGTGAATAAATCCACTTTTGTCAACATTAAGTGGCAAATTCCACAAAACTGTCCAATCGTATAACTTGTTTATTTCTTCTTGGATTACCGCTGAAATATAGCTTTCTCTGATGGGAGAAGAAAATGAGTATACCACTTTTAGGTCATCGGCAGAAAGGAAAGGTTTACCATACTGAAAGAGGGAACACACGTCATTGATAAAAAGGAGAAAGAGTAATGAACCGATCACACTTCCTTGTATAACTTCACTGGTTACATCCACAGGTTTAGAGTAGCAAGACCCAAAGCGAACGATTTGGCTTCGCTCTTCTAAAAAAGATTTGAGCCAAGATAAAATGGGATTCTGCATGTCAACTGAAGGGAGTTTTAAAAGAAGAAGTTTGTGTGAAACAATGTCGAAAGCCTTACTAAAATCGAAACAAAGAATTATCACTGACTGACCAACATCTCTTCTCTGGGTAATCTGATCAAAAATTTCCAGGTGCGATGCGAAGCATGAGCGTTTAGTCATAAACCCCTGTTGAGATGGGCTAGCCGAAAGTAAAAATGTTAGTAGCTGTTTGTGGATGACTTTTTCCATGGTTCTTGATAGCACGGATGTCAAATTATTTGGCTTATAGTTAACAATATCACCACGTGATCCTGCTTTGAATCTAGGGGTGATAAGAGATGTTTTGCATACAGATGGATATGTCCTATATTCCATAGATAGGTTGAAAGTTTCAAACAAAATAGTGGGAATTCTCTACTGCCGCATCTCAGAAATGATGAAGGGATCCTATCAGGTCCACCATCATAAGACATTTTCAGGGCAGCTATGGCCTGCTTGATGTTGAGTTGTATAAAACCAATTTTTTATATATGTCTGGATGTCAGAATTGGAAATGTATCGATAGAGCTTTCGGTTCCAGTTTTGTAGCATTGCGAGAAGGGCTTCCTGAATTGTTCGAAATAATATCAGGGTTGTCAACAATGCTCCCGTTAACTATGAAGAATTTAGTCATACAGGATTTAATAAGCCGAAGTATCGATAATCCTGGGCTTTTACTACCTAGGGCTTTCTTTTCTATATTCATAAAATCCTTGTGTATAGATGAAGCATTTCTGTCAATTAAGTTAAGTATACTCTGAAGTGCATGCACGTAATTATGCTCATAGTAACTGTGTTTTAATTTCCTCAGCCTTCTTTTAAAAATTTAAAAAGTATTCTGACCCCTATTAGCATTATAAGCCAAATGGCCAATAATTGGAGCAGTGCATTCAAGGCAATATATCAGGTTGTGGTATATATTGGAAAGTGCGATGTCAATATTATCTGTGATACAATAAGTTTCCCATAGTGAACATTGAATAAGAGTTTCAGTCCGAGTGGAGATTTATCCTCAAACTTGCACGCCTGAATGTCTGAACGGGCATGTATAATTGTACGGCCTCCTAATCCATAACATCTATCGATTCTAAAGAAAACGTAGTTATCTACATTCAATGAGTGACCGGATATAGATGGATTGCACCACTTTTCCGTAAAAGTACAGTGGTTGCGTTTACAAGGAATAAAAGGGTTTTAAGATGAGTAATGTT